TAATAATAATAATAATAATAATAATAATAATAATAATAATAAGTAGGTAGATGCATCAGCTACCTACTTATTATGCATCAGCATCCCAAAACCAAAGATATCCTGAAAATTAGGATCACACCTTCCTTCTTCTCTTAATGACAGACTCACCTCCTTCTAATCCTCTCTATTCATTTGCAGGTTTTGATTTCACACCTCTCTTCCAGCTCTCCCAGAGCTGTAGATATTCTTTCTCCCCTGTTACCCACCTCCTCTCAACTACCCTCTTATTTTACTCTCCCGTGCTTTATCAACTGCAGGTCTCCCTTTCTGCTCACACCCGAAGAAGGCTCCACAGCCGAAACTCATCATGGAATAAACCTTCACCTGTTCCACCATCTTCATCTTCATAATATCCTTACCTGTATATAGCGCTTTTCTGAACACTCCACTCAAAGTGCTGTACAGGTAATGGGGACTCCACCCCCCCAACCCCAACAAGGGCCCAAGCAAAATCAATTTGAAGAACAATAAAAAAAAAAAACTCACAATCCAGTAGGCTTTGCTCATGTTACAGACTTACAGAGGTTATTCGCTTGAGAAAGCTTGTGAAAGGCAAAACTGGGCATTTTCATTTTCATCAAAATCAATTCCTACTGTATTTTCCAATTCTCTCTTAATATATATCCTTAACGAAATCGTATTTTCTGAAGAGAGGCATTCAGGTTTTAGGATGAAATGTGTTTTAAAAAAAGTGAGAATCTACTATTCACTCATATAAAAAATTAGATTTACAAACGTTTAATTTGGAAAAATATCCTCTGTTTCTCAGCTTTTACTTTATTTTAAACACCACCAAATGATATACAATCAGAATTACCCACAGTGCCTTGTGAAAAGTATTCACCCCCTTCCTCCCAATTTATGAATTATAAAGGATGTATAAACATTGTTAACAGAATATTTTTCATTAAACACACAATAAATAAAATTGTGCTCCACTATAAGAAAACACATTTTAAAATCTGCTAAGAAAATTAGGCAAGAAAGTCACAGGTGGCAACTACAGTCAGAATGAAAACAATGCTTATGTTAGTAAAAAATAGCTTTAAATTAAGATTTCTCAATGCCGTTCGGTAGTTTTCAGTTCATCTAAAGGGGAACTAATAAAAGACCAAGGAGATAAACTGGAGATTCCGGCTTAGAAGTGTATAAAATAGAGAGCATATTTAAATAAGCCGTGCTTTACTTCTGATGGGCACTGTTCATTACAAGAGGCAATTCACATTAACGCAGGGCAAACATCACAACAAATCCCAAGAAGGTGTCCAGATTGCCTGCTCCTAATGCCCTCTATCTATTTCTAGTGGCACCAAAGAAACTATATCGCCGTCCTTTCAGAGAGGATAAACTGAAAGGTGAACAAAGTTACAGAGTCAGAACCAAAAAGCGACTGTTAACACGCAGCACATTTCGCCTTATTAAAAGTCAACTTGGAAAGCACTCCCTGCAAATTAAAAGCCCTTCTTCAAAACTTCTTTGGCCAAGGAACTCCAATCTGCTGAGTAGCATTCTTAACAAAACAGCCTACAGCAAACAGGCTTCTGATGGGAACCGTGCTGACTGTTCCACTATCGATATCATTCTTGTTCTGCAAACTCTTCTTGACGAAAGACTACCCTGACAATACATTGCAATCTATGTACGTATCGTCCAGCATAAAATAAAAATCTTCTTGGCCCCCCAAAAAAGCAGAACTGCACCAGTATTGAAATAACTTTTTTTTTTCCCCCAAGAACTCCTAGAGACAGTATAGGTCTGAGCAAAAGCATACATACTGCCTTGCCTGACTAGACATAGAAACTCTATTTAAAGTTTTAGGCCTTATCTAGCCCCTGGTTTGGTTAGTCGATCACCAGCCACACCATAAGAGCAGCTACAGAAACATGTTCCCTTTTGCATGCTCATATACTGTATCAATTCTGAAGGCAGCTGCTAGGAAACCTTATCAGAGGAGAATTTCAAAAAGGACCTAGCTTAGACAGTGTGGTGCCTCAACATAAAAGAAAGATTGTCCACCAAGGCCATAAGTATGCAGATAATACTCTTTTCAACCTTTTACACTCATTCATGAAATGGCTAATACCAAGACAATTCTCACTTTCCTAAAGTATCATACTAGTGATGGAATTAACACGGAAAACCTTGGACAGCTGCTTAAACATCAGAGTGTAAACCTGAACAGCAGCCGGCCCAGATGGCGTCTCTCCTCATGTCTTTAAAACCTGAGCAGGTCAGCTATCTCTTGTGTATAGAGACATTTTTAACCTCTCTGCCCCTCTCAGTTGTACCAGAGTGCTTTAAGAAAACAGTTGTGCCACTGCTCAAGAAGACCAAGGTAACTTGTTTGAACGATTACTGTCCAGTAGCACTCACTACAATGATCACGAAATGCTTACTGCCCAAATAGGTCAGTTGATGATGCCATATTTTTAGCACTAGATACTGCCCTAGAACATTTAGACAGGTGAGGCAGCTATGTAAGAATGCCGTTTATATATTACAGCTCGGTGTTTAACACAATTGTTCTCACCAAGCTGGTCCCAAAACTTAGGAATCTGGGCTTATGACACTTTACTTATAACTGGATAGTAGATCTCCTGAAGGCCAGATCTCAACAATATCAACTGGCAACAATATCTCCCCTACAGTGAATCTAAACACTGGAGCTCCACAAAGCTGCTGTCTCAGCCCTAGGCCATACTCCTTGTTCACCTACAATTGTACAGACACCTACAGCAGCAAACACATGATTAAGTTTGCAGATGACACCACTGTTATTGGGGGCTGATCAACAACAACGACGAGTGCGCATACAGGAGTGAGGTGGGGCATCTTACAAGATGGTGCCTGGACAACAATCTGGCCCTGACTGTCAACAAGACAAAAGAACTCATTGTGGACTTCAGGAGACCCAGAGGGAGTCATGCCCCAGTTGGCATCAATGGCTCAACAGTGGAAACTGTCAACTGCTTCAGGTTCCTCGGCCTGCAGATCTTCACCGACTTGGCTTGGTCTTGCAACACTGTAGCCAGACTGGAAAAGGCACAACAGCACTTCTTGCAGGGCCTAAAGAAATACCGTATGGGGATGCAGTTCCTCATGAACTTTTACCGCACCATAGAAAGTGTCCCCACTAGTGGCATCACTGTGTGCTACAGCAATACTACAGCGCATGACAGAGATAATAATAATAATTGTTTACACTTATACAGCGCTTTTCTGGACACTCCACTCAAAGCACTTTACAGGTAATGGGGACTCCCCTCCACCATCACCAATGTGCAGCCCCCACCTGGATGATGCGACGGCAGCCATAGTACGCCAGAACACTCAGCACACATCAGCTATCAGTGGGGAGGAGAGCGGAGTAATGTAGCAAATCATAGATGGGGAGTATTAGGAGGCCATGAATTGATAAGGGCCAATGGGAAATTTGGCCAGAATGCCAGGGTTACACCCCTACTCTTTGCGAGAAACGCACTGGGATTTTTAATGACCACAGAGAGTCAGGACCTCAGTTTTACATCTCATCCGAAGGACGGCACCTGTTTACAGTATAGTGTCCCCATCACTATACTGGGGCATTAGGACCCACATGGGCCGCAGGGTGAGTGCCCCCTGCTGGCCCCACTAACACCTCTTCCAGCAGCAACCTTAGTTTTTCCCAGGAGGTCTCCCATCCAGGTACTGACCAGGCTCACACCCACTGAACTTCAGTGGGCTGCCAGTTGTGAGTTGCAGGGTGATATGGCTGCTGGAGATGTGATACAAAGTGTTTCGGCAACGGCACCAAGGATTATCGGATCTGATTTACCATCAATCATTGAGATTCACACCATCCGCTGTCAGAATAAAGCCCAAAACACCCTTCAGGATCCCAGCCATACCGGCCACAAATTGTTCACAAAGTAGTACCGCAATATTAAAGCGCAGACCACTAGACTTAAGAACAGTTTCCATCTTACTGCAATGCCCATCCTCCACAGCTTACTGCACTGCCTCAGACTCATAGTGCATATCTGCGCACTGCACTATTTGCATGGTCCACCATGTTTATTTTTCCCGCACTACGCCAGATTTATTGTCCCCCAACACATTTACTCTTCCTGTTGTTATTACTTACGTGTGAAATGTATTGTCTACATTCTAAGGCGTTGTCTATTGTACTGTGCACGTCCTGAGAACTCAGCACGAATAAGAATTTCAATGTACATATGTCAATAAACTCCTCTACATCAGCTTGTCTGAAAATTCAGGTTGTCCAGTAAGCGGTACTTACTGGACATTTGTTCTTAGCAAAACGGGGCCTGCAACACAACCTGGCCCTACACAACAAATGTTTGGCCTATTAATACGAGGCCTGAACTGCAAACAGCTACTGTTCACAACCCTGTTAATCCTACAATACTTCACTTCAGCATTTCATGACACTGGGACTCTCCTGGAAGTCCTGAAGCTTTCTAGCTACTGTTATTATTTTACTAACCGGACACCAGATGATAATCTTCATCAGTGCTGACAGTAATTCATCAGAAACATATCAATATAGGTAACAACTTGTTCAAAAATATGACATCCATATAAGGTTGAAACCATCTCGTAACCTGATCTCAACAGATCTCAGAAGCAATGCAAGTCTAGACATGGTCATTAAGATCGTTAAGGAAAACTTGGTTGCTGCTTGAAGTGGTGCTGTGGCCCAGCATGTAGCACTATTTGCTCTGGACCAGAACTTTCAACTATAGTATTTGACAACGGACACTGTCCTGTAGATAGCTGCAGTCATTTGGGTAAGACCTAAAATTATGGTCTTGACTAACATCTGACTGTTAAAATTCCCATGGCAAAAGTAGGGGTATTAATCCTGGTGCCGTGGCTAATTCCTGAATTAATCTGATGTGTAGGGAGAATGCTGTCTGACACTTATCAACCAGGTGGGTGCAGCATTACAGTACTTATAATAACAAACTTTATTTATAGAGCACCTTTCATACAAATAGCAGCTCAAAGTGCTTTACAAACCCAGCGCAAAAATAAAATCTTCAAATTCAGAGACATACTTTCAGTTGTAAAGGAAAACACAGTCATACAGTAAAGCAACATATTTGTCAATTTTATGCTTGAAAATATATAAAACAGAAATTAGGAAAGTTGTCATAAACAAAGAACAATAAAAGAGAAATAAAAAAAGAGAAAGAGAAAGAACAAAGAACCATTTGAACTAAAAGCTAAATTAAAAAGATAATAACAAACCACAAGTTCCCTTAGTGCTGTAACATGTAAATGGGCACATTAAAGTAGTTTAAGTAGGAATATGTTTTAGGATTATTGCTCTTGCAGATTTGTATCAACAGTTTAGATTCGGGTATAGTTAAGTTCATCCTTCGGATGAGACGTAAAACTGAGGACCTGACTCACTGTGGTCATTAAAAATCCCAGGGCGTTTCTCGAAAAGAGTAGGGGTGTAACCTCGGCGTCCTGGCCAAATTTCCCCTTGGCCCTTACCAATCATGGCCTCCTAATAATCTCCATCTATGAATTGGCTTCATCACTCTGTTCTCCTCCCCACTAATAGCTGATGTGTAGTGAATGTTCTGGCGCACTATGGCTGCCGTCGCATCATCCAGGTGGATACTGCACATTGGTGGTGGTGGAGGGGAGTCCCCATTACCTGTAAAGTGCTTTGAGTGGAGTGTCCAGATTAAAGCGCTATATAACTTTAAGCAATTATTAATTACAGTGAACTGTATCAGGACAAAATGTGGAGAAGGGTTCTGGGTACAAGGACTTCTCGGGTAGAATTAAAAAAAACTGAAAAATTGGAATTAAAAAAATTCAAAAATTCAAAATTGAGGCACGTAACATAATGGAATGGGTTAAATGAAAGCCCTCCTAAAGAAGGTTTTGAGTCTAGGTTTGAAAGAGCTCAAGGAAAGTGACCCTCTGATATCCTTAGGGTAGAGTTCCAGAGCTCTGGGGCATAACAGGAGAAGGTCGTGTCACCCACAGAGTGTAGACGGGCTTGGGGGACAGATAGGAGACCAGAATTAGACAAAAGAAGGTTTGCAAGGTGGGGGTAGGAACACAGTAAGTCAGACAGGTATTGAGGTGCCAAGCCATGCATTCTGAATTTGAAATGAAACCTGACTGGATGCCAGTGCGGGTACTCCAGGACAGGAGTAATGTGATCACTTGCACACGACCTGGTCAGGATTCTGGCTGCCGAGCCCTGTCTCACCTGCACTGTCATTGCGGTCAGGGGTTAGGTCATGCTCGTCCACGGGTTTCTTAAAAACAGAGCAAAAACCTTCGGCAGCATTGATATCGGCAAACGTCTGTCCGCCGGGCACATCTCAAACCTAGACAGCCATCCCGAAGAGAAACTGCATTCAGCCGGCATCTTCAGCTTTTCAGGAAAGTCTCTCGCCTTCTCCCGCAGCACAGCCCCTGAGGTAGCAGGGCAAACTATTCGTGAAGCACCTAATCCACGTCCTCCAACTTAACCCGATGGAAGGTAAGCCTCCTCTCATCTGTCACGGGAGATCTCAGGCTTCACGAAAGACTCCCTTCGTTTTGATCAAAATCAGACGTACTCGGATCCGACCGCAAACTCGCCATAAAGCTCCTTCACCAAAACCTTCGTCTGGGGGTCGGATATGAGAAAAGATAGATGTCGATCAACTCGGCTCACTCGTAAAACAGTACGGATTGCACCGGGGAAACGTTCACTTAAGGGAGAATGAAGACCAACGACTGTCCTGGTCCTACTGTAGGTAGGCAAAACATCGCGTGCGTGCATGAAGCAAACTAGTTTATTTTTTATGCCTTGTTAACAGTATTTTTCCCCGATTGCTACAGGTCATTGCTATGCGTCATTACCAGATCCGGGGGAGTTTATTGTACTACCAATAACAATGATAACCAGAAGAGATAGCACCTTGAATGACAACAACTCACCTCGACCTCCCTTGTCCTTCTTCACCATAATGTTAGACTTACACAACTACAATGAATTAATTACGACGACTCGGCTTTCTTCATTTAAGTTCTTGAAGACTTTTGCTGCCGATTTCTTACAGACGCAACACAACACATCCGACAACGGAGGCTGCCATATTTGTTAAATGAATTGCGCATGCTCGGTTAGTTCAAGTCCCCAAGCAAATCCGGGAAATGACTGTAGGTCACATATGGGTTTGAAAACTGATTTGAAACTGTTTTTTAAAAAAGGAAACCTTCTAGTGGTTCTTGTCAACAGTGTGGTATTTGAGGTGCTGGAATTAGTGTTTATACTATTATTAAGTTTTATTGCATCATCCCAAGTATAAAGTTTTTTTTTGCTACTGTCAATTAATAACTGGGGCATGCATACAGTTATATACATATTATTGTTAAAGCGACAGCACATTTTAAGGCATTACTGTTACTAAGGAATACCTAATTGCTGTTCTTATTCCGATACATTAACGTCAGCCATACGCCAAAATGGCGTGTTTTCAGCCATCGGTATTAAAGTAGACAGCCGATGATCGTCTCAATTCTGCATGGGCAGATATTATAGATTTTTGATGATGCAAGGTTTTCTGGTAAAATTACAAACTTGTTCTTTCATTTCGGAAATCAGCGGACCTAGACACTAACCAGAAATGTAGGAACTGCAGTTTTCCCCCCCGCTGCGACAGTAAGTTTTTTTCGTCAAACTTACTTATTGAACATGAAATAATACAAAGAAGAAATGTGCATCCGAAAAAAGATGTGAACAAAAAACAACAACAACAACAACAACAACAACAACAACAAATTATACACTGCCCAAAGTAATTACAGTCAGAAGTTAAAACACATCCGTTTTGCTTTTTGCCTAGTTATTTTCAGGTTTTTAATGGCGTTTAAGTAATACTGCATTTCTATGTTCATAAGCATTAAAGGGCAGAGTAGCATTAGACCATTTTAGTATATATTATCTGCTACAGTACAAGGCAATGCTTTAAAGGAGGACATTTCTGGGGTCTTTCCTTCATTCTAAGGACGTGATGTTCTTTTTCTACTGTTGCATTCAGAACTAAAATGGTAAAAACCGGAAATTAATTTCAAATCATTCCGAATAATATCGTTTTAAAACAGGTAGAAATTTGACCTGGCAAAAAGGAAGATGTGCAGTTATTACAACTATTGAGCAGCAGCTGCGTCACCTGCCTTGTAGCCTGATCTCAGAGCCGAGGTCTGTTGGGTAAGACCATCTTGCCCCTACAGTGATGTTGGTGGACCAGTAGGTGGTGCTCTTCCCTCTGGACCAGAATTTCCAAACCAATGCCCCCAGAATAGTGACTTGGGACACTGTGTACCACTGAATGAAGCATTAAACTAAGGTCCGGGCCTCTTGGTACTTATCCAAAGGGTAGGCGTCAGGGTTTAAAACCTGCTCTGGGTGTGTATGATCCAGCGAATTGGGTTTTTCATTCCTCCACTGAGACTTGAGTTAGGTACCCAGGTCTGCAATTATATATGTATACATAGCGAGAATTTGATTAGGATGCTGGGATTACACCCCTACTTTTTTTTTCTGAGAAGAGCTCTGACACTTTTAATGACTTTTTAATGACAGTTTTATGTCTAAATTGACGGATGGCACCTTTTGACAGTATAGCTTCCCAGTCACTACACAAGGGCATCAGGACCACACAGACCACAAGGTAAGTGCTCCCTTGGTCCCACTAACACCTCTTCCAGCAGCAACCTTAGTTTTTCCCAGGAAGTCTCCCATCCAGGTACTGGCCAGGCTCACACCTGCTGAGCTTCAGTGGATTGCCAGTGATGATTTATAACCTTGCAATTTCATTCCATCAATACCTCGACATGACATCTCTCTATACATACAGGTAATAATTACTATTATTTTAAGTAGTGCGAAGTATTTTAAGTATAATATGGTTCACAGATTATTTTTTCCTATTGATGCGATCTCTTATGGAAAAAAATTCTGCACCATTGAAACTACAATGTTAATACATCTTAAAATCGCGGTGGGTAAATTATTTTGTGAGTACCACTGGTTTTGTAGAATGTGATGAATTCGTAACTTTCCTAAGAGTGTAGAATAATTGAAGCTTATTAGCTGTAGATTTAGTTTGCGTTTCATATTCTGAGATCGTATATTGAATTAACATCCTATAGTGTAAAATAATACACACGGTACCAAAATCTAGTCTTATAATTAACAAACAATATACAGTAAATTACGCGAAAAGAACGTACAACTGTAAATACAACTAATACATTTTCCTAATACAGGTGCCATTTGGACAAAACGTATTTTCCTGAACCCCACATAATTTCAATGACGAAATCCAACTCGGAACACAAACTACCTCTGACATCACAAGATTTGTGCTGCAAATTCTTCAAACTCTTGTGTTGCTGTTACCTGGCGGCGAATTTGCTCAAGAACGTGCTATGTTGTGAGCATTTAAGAAATCAATTAAAAGAAAAGTTAAGGTGACCGTTAATGGAATAAAAAGCTCGTAATGTCGTTGCAGCGCTAACAATTTAGAAGGCTATCTTCCTCGGTGGGAAAAAAAAACGGTTTCATCACGGTTCTTACAGTAACAAGTAAATAGGAGGAAGCGCGGCCTGTTCCAAAAAGGAGGGGAGGCGCTTCAGCCTCGGACTCGAGTGGAGGTTAATACGGGACTCCTGAGCCCTCGGCGTCTGCGGACTCGCCTATCAGCGGGGCCCAGGCTGTCCCAGCCGGTCCTGTGAATGAGGAAGTGGTACCACAGATCCCCAGGTAATAAAAAGGACTACATTGACTACCTTTTACTCCCTGTTTTAGATTTAATTCACTTCAATGTGAAATATGCGAGAGCCAATTTCGATATAAATGCTGGAACGTGGAGGAGAACTAAATAGAAGAAATTCGTGGTCTGTGAGCTTCACTGTAATTTAGTTACATTGCCAGAATGTCAAAACAGGGATTGCTGATTTTGTAAGTCAACTTGTGAACCAGTCCATTTGCTAAACGATACGATGATTGCTGGATCTATGTGAATCGTTTCGGAGAAATAAAGACTGCAATCGTAGTGAATCGTTAAGAGCAGTTACGGTTTAATTTGGAACAGTGTGATTGCAACTTAAGTGTTGTTGGCACATTACAATGGTTGCCGAAATGTTATTTCGCACCATCAGCTGTCGTTTTGACGTATCGCCTTACTGTAAAGTTGTCCGTAATTTTAACATTTACTCGACGTATTGCTGCCCCGTATTTTCAATATGTGCGAAACCTAACGTTTGGGAAATTAACATTGCGAAGTCACGTAGTGGCTCTGTGAAAATGCCTTTTTTTTAAATTCTAATGTTAATTGCATGAATTGGATGAAACGCAGCCCTTTGCAAAAAGCGTAAAACGCGCACTTCGCAGTTAAATCACAGTGTTTATTTAGTTGGCATGGCAAGGTCTAGGATAACAATTTGAAAGCTTAAAGTGAGAGGAAAATATTTTTTTAGTCGCACTCTTTTAAACTGTATCTACACACACATCTCAAAGAGCGAGAGTTTTCATGCTACGAGGAGGCTGTGAGCGAAGAGGAGTCAATTTGGCCCATCTAGGCCTAATTTTGTTTTTTAGTAGCTAATTAAGCCTAGGATTTTATCTAGCCCTTTCTTGACAGAAGGCAGGGTGTCAGCTTTGAGAACATGGCTGGACGGCCCGTTTCAGCCCCCCGCATCCCTTTGTGTAAAACACCACTGTGTGCCGGCTTTATCGATGCCTTTGACCATTTTGAATATCTGGATCAACCCAAATCCGAGTTGTTTAAGTTTGAACAGATTCAGTTCTTTAATCCTGTTGCTGTGTAAAACATTCTTCTGGGCCTAAGAAAATATCTGGCTGCACTTTGCTGGACTGATTCTAGAGCAGCAGTTTTGTTTTGTAGATGGATGACTACAATTGTACCCTATTGGCAGTGAGGTCTTGCTACCACATTGTACAATTTTAACGTTACAGCCCTTCGTTTATTTATATATGTAGGATTTGCTGTCTACATGTAACACTCTGCACATCTGCAATTGCACATTTTTCTGTCTAAGTCATTTTAAATGCATTTTAAATCTTAAACAGTGGTTGCTAATCCTGCATGTTCAGATGTTCAGTACCACCCGAGAACTGGACAGGTTTACAAATTACAGCAGAACCTAAATTGTTGATTTAAGTTAGCAACATCCTCTTAGTACTCCGCTAATATCACCCCAGTCTGAGCTTTTCCTCATTATTATCTTTACTGTTTCCCATCCTAAGAAACAGTTCTCAGTCAAAATGCATGCCTTTCCTTGAATGCTTACTGCAAGTTGAGAATGAGCCAATGTCAAAGTTGAGCACATGTCTTCTGAATATCTA